GACATGAGAGAAGGTCCTGATCTCTTCTCCTTGTCTTTCCAAACCTTTGATGCGTACGCATGTTGAGTTAAATATTGAATTTTCTTAAATAAATCTGTTCTAATTTGAATGATGTTATTTCCTTATAAAATGTTAAAATATGAATATAAATGAATTTGTGAATGAAAATAAGTACATTAAACAAAATATTTCTATTTATATACTGTGTTGGGGGCGATGTCTGCATGTAGATATAAAGGGGAGTCTCAAGGGTAAAAAGTTTGAGTACCACTGGTATAATGGAAAGATTTGATTTCCACAAAATTCATGAAGTCATTTAAATTCCTTGCATTCTGGTCCTCCTTAAATTGCTGTTAAAATGGAAACTCTTGAAGATTATTCAGTGAAGTAGAGCAAGTGTCAGGAACATGAGAATTGCTGCCATCAGGTCATGGCCTGTCTACTCAAACTTAGCATTTTCAATCATAGCCATCCAGATGCCTCTGGACATTCACAACACAGGCATATAGTAATTGCATGTGGAGACATTCAAATATTTGGTGGAACTGCCTACAATGAGCAGCAGTAACAAGGCTATCTGCCCAGTGCATGACTGGAAACTTTTTTTAAAAAAATTATTAAACACAAGTAACACAACAACAAACATTAATATAAAACCTATCATACAAAAACTATAAACAAACAAAAACCCTAACAAACTAACAAAACACTAATGAACATTGACTTCCCACCCAAAACCAGTGGTTATATCCCCCTATTACTAGACTTCTTTTAATATGTACTACACAAAGCTTCTACAATATAAGCAAAAATAATTCATTTTACAAAACTTAGAACCTATCTACTGGCAGTCCAAGATCTTTTTATTCAGGAAATACTCTAGCAACTAATGAAAGTGTAACCATTTAAAGGAGGGGTTTTTTTAACAGCACTTTAATTGATACTTAAAATCAACATTTAATTATATATATATAAACTTATTGTGATGTTTTTAATATGTGTAAGCAACCTTCAGATGACTAAACTGAAAGTATAATTCTTTGAGACAATGTGACTCACTGCAAAGGACAATAATGCTTGGTAAAGAGGAAGGCAGTAGGAGAAAATGACTGCACTACTGATGGATTGATTAATTCATCAAAGAAAGCCACTGCCCTAAGGTTTTAAGACTTGAGCAAGGCAGTTGATAACACTTACAGGGATAAGAAACTTTTTAATTTCTTCCAGTGCATGTCCCATCCTGGCATATGCTTCTGCTGGTGGGGCAAATACTTCGATTAACACGTGCAAATCATCATTTAGGTGGAAATACTTTGCTTCTCCACTTTTTCTCAACTCTTCTTCCTGGGAAGACAGAAAATTTATATATAGAATTATCACATGGGGGAACAGAACAGGAAAATGGAAAAACATATGGCAGACCACACCGAAAAACAAAAACAGAAATTCAGCAAATGCCAGAAGCACCAGCTGAAACCTTCATTGGATACATCACGGACGATCATCAATCTCA